TGTATGTGTGCGGCGTGTGGTGTGTCTGCCTGTGGTATGTGTGAATGTTTGTCTTTAGTATACAGTGTATGTGTGCTGCTTGTTGTATGTAGTATGTACATGTGTGTTGGGTGTGTGTGTAATGTGTGTGGTGTGTACACATGGCAGGCAGGAGTATGATGGGTTCCCAGTCAGATGTACCTGAGGCCCAACAGCTCTGGGGGTGTCAGGGGCCTGGGATGGGGTCTGAGCAGATGAGCTGGGGGTGATTCTGGGGGGCTCAACCAGCTGGGACAACAGAGCATGTGTGTCTGGCAGATGAGCTGGGGGTGATTCTGGGGGGCTCAACCAGCTGGGACAACAGAGCATGTGTGTCTGTTGTGTCTGGTGTTTGTGAAGAGCTGGGGCTGCAAGTGGGCAGGCTGACCTCCCATGGTCCTCAGGGAGCCTGGCAGGGACAGTGTAGAGGGAGGAATCTGACAGGTAGGAATGCCTGCTCTAAACAGCAGCTGGCCAGGTGGCTAGGCTGGGCCAGGCCATGGGAAACAGGTGACTGTCACAGAAACCCTCACAACCTCAGCTTCGAGAGAGGGAGGGAGGCAGGGGCGGACGCTCACTTGGGCAGGGCCAGGGTGTAGTACAGCCTGAGGGATCAGAGAGTTACACTGCGAAGGAAACCCAGGCCTGTACCTGGCTGCTGTGTCAGAGCAGTGGACTCAAAGGAAAGGCCTCAGTCTCCAGGGAGCAAGATCTGACCACTTCATAGGGCCACTGGTACTGCAGGGCTGGGGGTCGTGGGACAGGTAAGCAGGAGTGTGGAGGGGGCAACAAGCGCTATTCCTTCAGTGGGCTGCAGGCTGGTGTGTCCCAGCACTGCTCTGACTGTTGTCTTTTGCCCTTATGAGACAAGGCAGTGAAGCAGACACTGTGCTTATTCACCCCACAAGTGAGGAAACTGGGCCCTGGAGGCTAAGCATCCAGCTGATGGTAGACTCCAGAGATGAACCTAGAGACACGTGCCACCCAGCATGGGACCTCAGGGGTCCTCAGGTATGCATGGTATATCCATGAGTCCTGACTTTGGTTTAAGGAGAGGCTCAGCATGGGCATCCTGAAGCCACAGAGGTGACTAAACTGCAAGGACTTGTGGGTTTGGCAGGTTAGGAGTGTGCTGGACCATGCTTCTTGAGCAGATGGACAGAGGGTGGGTGAGAAGGTTTGGGGTGGGGAGTAGGTGTCTGCTGTGGTGAGTGTCTAAGGGATGGCTGAGTAGATGTTGACAGCTTAGCCTCCAAACCAGCTATGTGACCCCACCAAGTCACTTTGCCTCTCTGGTCCTCACATGTAAAAGGGGATAGCAAAGCACCAAACCAAGCCTGAATAGGCTTTAGAAAGCCTGGCAAAGTGCCCCTGTGGTGAAACACCCACTGAGGTCACTGTCACTATAAGGCTGACAATCCTGACCACGCAGCAGGACAATGCCATTCCTCTGATGGTGGCGAAGCCATCACAGAGCTTCAGGGCAGAACTCAGGAGGAGGAGGAGGAGAGGTGGCATTGACCCCACAGGGAGCAGCCAGGGCCTCAAGGGTCAGGCAGAGGTGGTGAGGGGGAGCCTGGCCCACGGCAGTTCCTTAGCTGTTACCTGCAGGGACGTGGAGGCAGCTCCGATGAGCAGGCCCAGAGACTGGGCCACGAGCGAGGTCATGGTGCCCAATGCAGCGAAGAGGACAAAGCGCACGGCATCGGACGGCTGTGACGTCATCCAGTACACGATGCTGCAGTAGGCCATGGGGAACATGACCTGCAGATCAGAGTCTGTGTCACTGGGGGGTGGGGGGCTCAGGTGGTGTGCAGTGCCCCGAATGCTCAGTAGGTTCCAGCTGCTGCTCTTCATCTGCAGCTCCAGCCAGAATTCCTAGGTCTGGACATGTCACCCGCCTCTCTCCTCAGCAGGAGGAAAACGGTGCAATTTGGCTCCGTGTTTCTGGCCCACTCTACAGCTCTGCAGGTTGCAGAGGACAATCCCTGCCCCTCTTCAAAGTCACCCCTGGCTCACACACCTGAAAGGGGACATCGGCCATGGTCTTGGCCAGGTAGTAGGCCTTCAGGCTGTACCAGTAATTCAGATGTTCTCGCAGAAAGACGCTCATCTCCAAGGGAACTAGGACAGGGAGAATAGAAAAGAGGTGTCAAATGGGCACACCTGATGGACAACAGCTGCGAGGGCTATCTAAAAATACCCAAAGCCCAGGGCTAGGGGAGGTGCCCAAGTGAGACAGCGCCTGTCTGGCAAGCGCCAGGCCCTGAGTTCAAACCCTAGTAGAGCAAGACACTGCGTGCTCAGAAAGGTCATGTCTTGGTCGGGCTTGCCCTCAGTCCCCCATTCTCGGGTAGGCGTCACTGGCAGTGGGGGAGGGCAGGTCTGCGGTCGTCACTCACAGGTCAGAACGGTAGGCATGAGGGCGGCAAACATGAGGAACAGCATGGAGAAGAAGAGGAAGCCAGAGTTGCTCAAGACCTTCTTGGCTTCGTTCCCGATCCCCAAATAGAGCAGGCCAATGAGGAGGCCGATCCCGATGTGCGAGGTGATCCTCAGGTGTGTCAGGACCTGGAGAGACACGGAGCTTACCCGGTGCAGCTGGAAGCCAGAGAGCAGGGCCAGGGCTTCTTCGAGCACCAGACCCTGTTCTCTGCAGTATCGGATCTTAGGGTCCATTCTCCCATTCCTCCAGAGAACAAGCCAAGCTTTCTCCCACACTCCCACACAGGTATACCTGCGCGTGCATACACACGTACACTATGATAACAGAAGTAATCAACTCCCTTTGTTAAAATTCTCTCCAACACTGGCAGACAGGAAATGTGTCCCTCTAGAGAGAAGGGTGGGGGGCTGGATCTACCAGAGGCCTGTACTGTAGAGCTCTGGCATCGGTTGTTATGAGCCCCTTATTGTGAGCTATGAGTCTTCCAACTTGGGTCCCAGAGGCCACAGTGGACAGGCCACCTCTCCCAGGCAGGCAGCCAAAGCATGAGTGTCCACTGAAACCACGCATGTTATCAAAGTTCTCTCATTCACCGCCTCTGTCCAAATAAGGGAGACCAGACCTCCCTACTCCTTATGCCTCACCATGCTCTTTGAAGGAGGAAGGCACTTTCCTCATTTCTGATGTCACCCTGGCCACCTGGCCTATTTTGGCCAGATGGCCAAAATAGAATGTGAGCTCAAGTGACCATTTGCCACCTCTAAGCAGAAGCCTGAGGGCTGCCCTCCTGCACTTCCCTTTGCTATGCTCTAGAAGGGTGGGTCCAGGTGGGACTGCTCCTTCATTTGGGGGCCAGGGATGAGAAGACAGATTGGGGTCAAGCCTGACCCAAACCCACAGCACATGCATTACACAGCTGACACACACACTAACTGCTGCGGGCACTAATGTGTTGGGACCGTTACCGCAGCACCCGAGTGACAGTTGACTAATGCAAACAAAGGGAAATCAACCTGAAAGTTCCCTGAATTGGGAGGAGTCAGTGAGAAAAACAGAAACTGGGGGGATGCAGAGGACAACCTTACCGAGTCCCTCATGATGCTCAGGAAGGTCCTTTTAAAGAGGATGCAGAACTGAGTGAGGCAGCTTGCCGAGAAGCTGTGGCAGCCCTCTGTGGCAGCAGAGTCCTGCAGACACACCAAGAAGGGGCCGGTGAGGCTCCCGCAGGCCCCAAACTCCTTGCTGGAAGGAGCTCTTATCCAGCAGGTGCAAAGTACGCATGCAGCTCGCCCAGGTGGGGATTCGCATTACCTTTCACAACCCCTTTAATCGTTTTGCCTGCTTTACCTCTTCAGAGGGCCGGTGCCAAAGGAAAGGGTTCACCTCGGCATCGCCCCCGAGGTCTCTCTTGTAGTCAGGATCACACATGCCCTCCCGCACTGCTCTCACCAGGCGGCTGTTCTGATCACCGTACTCTCCGGATGCCACCTCCATGACTGCAGGGGACACAGAAGACAGGGTCAGTTCAGGTTCCAGAAGATGCAGGATTTGATGGGAACCTCATGTCTCTCATTTTACAACAGCAAAGTCATTAGTCTAGAGGGTAAATGATTGCACAATGCTGCACGACGATTGCAATGGTAGATGACGAGTCATTAATGAGCCAATGTGCGGGTCTCAACCCCCCAGCACGGTCACTCTTCCTGTCGGGAGGCTGGTGTCAGTAAACTCATGCATCTACTGATGTGTCCATCACCCAGCGCAGCTGACCGCCTGCTCCAGGCCAAACCAGGCTAGAGCTGGGGAGGTGAGCAGGAGAAAGCAGGCTCCTCTCTGAAGAGCTCAGAGTGTCTGGTGTGTGACAGCAGCCCTAGAGACCACAGAGGCGGAGTGTCCCTGCTGCACAGGGTCTTATGCCCTGAAGATCCTGAGGTCAGTGACTACCACCTATCCCCTCAGATCCTGGTGTCCCTTCTGGACTCTGTCACTACCCTTCCTCTCCACCTCCAGAGCCTCTCATTCCAAGTCCCCTTGACACACACTTCCTCTGCTGCTGGCTGGTCGATTCCATGCTCCATGGAGAGACTGCTGTTCCTTCCTGCCCGCCCACCTCTACGTTCTCCAACCCATCTTCCCTCTCCTTCCTCCACCACCTCTCTGCACAGACCTGGCACTCACCTCAATACCTGCTAATGTGGAAAGCCCCCTGCTCCTATCTTTTCCACAATCCCCCCAGCCTGGTAAAACCAACCATCTGCCTTCCCGTGTGGGTATCGAGACACCAAGCACTGTCATAGCAAGCTGTAAGCCAGGATACACGGGCCCTCCAGAAAGTCGTCTCCAACAGATCCAAGCAAGCCCCGTGCTGTCAGGTGGTGCCTCTGAGCGCCTCTGGTCACTCACTCCCACCCCACACAGGCCCCAGCACCTGGCTTCCTGTCCTCTCTTCAGAGGACGCTGAGGAAAGCAAAGCCTCCAGAAAGGAGCAAACCACGTGTTTCTCGGAGACCTCCTGCCTCCTCTGAGTCACATCTTCTCTGACCCGCCCCTCTCTTCTTCCATTTTCCCATCCCTGCTCAGCAGCACTGTCACCCTCCCTCTTCTCCCTCATGAATGAATAAACAATTCTAAACCCGATGCCTCGGTGCCTTTCCAGTATGCTCAAATCTCCCCTTTAAGTGGAGCTCTCCCTTGTCCTCCACCTCCTTCTGCCCCCAGCTCTATCTTTCCTTCTTCACAACCTGCTTCTTGTGACTGGCCAGCGTTCCTCAGAAATCGTACCTTGGGAACACAATCTGGAAAATGACGTAGTAGAAACTATGGGCTCCTGAGAGCACTGTGGCCAGAGCTTAAGAAATACAATGGAGTGAGAAAGGCTGGAGAGGGGTGGCCAAGGAGGAGGGACATCCACCTAGAACCTTCGAGTGACCATGGGGAGCAGGATCTTTGTAGGGAACAGGTCAAAGACCTTGGATGTAGAGCGGGAGGCCCTAAAGCCAGTGACCAGTGTCCTCACAGAGGACAAGGCCAAGAGAGGCCAGGGCAGAATCTGGTTATCAGTCACGTCCACCTGGAGGACAGGGAGAGTCCTTTCACCACAGGACGACACCTGAGCTGTTTATGGAATACTCCAACAGTTCCCAATTCCCATTAGACCAACTTGGCGCCCATCAGAGTGGAAAAGACTCTTTTTTTCCTTCCAGTGGATCTAGGCTCTACTCACCAAAGTCTGCTGGGTTATGGTAGGTGGGACAGTTCAGACCTAAATCTCTCAAATATGGCACAAGATTGGAGACCTTCCCTCGGTACACACATTGTCCTTGACTTAGGACGTAAAGCTGCAGAAAAGGGAGGACAGAAAAGGCATCAACTTCAGTCTTCCTCTGTAAAACAACAGGAACTCCCATTCAGTCAGTCAGTCAGTCAACAGTCAGTCAACCAGTCAGACACCCTAGGAACTAGAAGAAGGCATGAGTATCCAGAGTCGTTTGCTCAGGCCCACCAAAGCCTAGTTGGGGGTCTGACGGAGATTCCACAGAGTGGGTTAGGGATCTGGGATGGGGATCCTGGTCAGGGGTCCAAGTGAAATCCGAGGCCTGCATACCTGGTCAAAGAGCTCAAAGAGCTTGGCGCTGGGCTGGTGGATGGTGCAGACAATGGACCGGCCCCCCTGGGCCAGCCCTTTCATCAGGGATACCACCTGGAAGCAGGAGGCGCTGTCCAGGCCACTGCAAGTCAAGAGCACCATGAGACATGGTGGGTGGCAAGCAAAACCCACAGCCCCAGGTCCTGGGGGATCTAAGCAGTCACTGCTTTGGGAGGGTATGGTGCAGGACCTGCTGCTGTTTCCCCTAAGATCAGGCTCTGCTTGAGAAGGGATGGGAGAACCGTCCAGGTAGGCAGTCGGGCCTCCCAAATGACCAACGGGCATGGTGGCCAGTATGGTAGTCATCACTTGCAACTCCCAGCCCTCACCCTATTTGGGGAGCTGGCAATGGTGTGGTGGCCCCAGAGAGGGCAGCCTTGGAGAAGCAGATGTTTTACTGAATACATCAGTGCCTTTCCCAGGATGCAGTGCTCTGAGGTTCCCTGGGGCTCCTGCCGGTGTTTGGCAGCCCTGGTGACCTCTCTTCTTTCCTCTCCTTCCTTGGCACAACAGCCCAATTTCTGCCTCTGTCCTTCCACTGTGCAGCTATAGGGACAGGGGACTGTGTACACTGGACGGCTCCTACCAGCTCACTGCTCCTGGGCAGTCAGCCTGCAAAAGACAATTTTAAGGGCTTGCTGCAGTTGCCTTTCTAGAATATTTTTACAGAGGCCACCTAAGTACTGCCATCTGGGGTACAGCGCCAGTCTTCAGGGTGGCTGTGTCACAGAGAACTGCTAGGTATCTTGGAAGAGACGGGCACACAAAGGGGCATCCCACCAACCATATCCCCATGTTCAATGGGTATCGCACAACCTCATCACAGGCATGTCTCTGAGTCTGGGGGAGAGAAGTGCAAGCCAGCCCCTCTGCCCTGCAATCCTAGAGTAAACGGCATGTCAGGATGGCAGGGACACGTAAGAATCTCGATGTTGATGAGGGGGCTCTTCCTTGTGCCTCCCCGGCCACCAGCCCAGACACTCCACAGCCCTGGCTTACCTGGTGGGCTCATCAAAGAACATGACTGGTGGGTTGTTGACCAGTTCCAGCGCAATGGCTAGGCGCTTCCGCTGGCCACCCGACAGGCTCCCTGTACGTGTGTTGGCGCAGGACAGCAAGCCCAGTGCTGTCAGGATCTCCTTGACCTGGGGTGGGGGGAGCAGGAGAACGAGAGTCCCGATTAGGAGTTGCCCTCCTCACCTCGTCACCACCAGGCCCCACGTGCAGAGCCCTGCGGCTGCCTGACCTGCTATACACACCTCACCAGGCCATATGGGCCTGTGAATTGGGGCTGCCCAGCCTGGCCTGGACAGGTGACACAAGCTGTCTTCAAACCCGTGGTCCTGACTTGGATCAGGATGCCAGTGCTGTCCAAAGGTGAGAAGCAGTGAGGGAGTCACACTCAGCCTCCAGCTGGTGACCTGGCACATCCCTTCACTTCTAAGCCTAGCCGAGTGCCTGCTGCAGAGAAGCTCTCTGATAAATATTTGATCAATGTGTGGATTAATGGGTACAGAAGTGGATGGACAATCAGGTTTCTGAACAGCAAAAAGGGTCACAGTAACCCTTAAGCAGACTAGTGACAGCAAAGTGTCTAGTACAGTAAGTATGCAGTCCCCAGCAGCTGTTACCCTGCTAGTGTCACCCAAAACATAAGAGTGCAGCCACACAGCCAGGCTTCTTGAAAGCCTTACTGTGCATGGGAAAGTGAACAGACCTGCGGTCTGACTGAAGTTGGGGCCACCTGGTCGCTCTAGCCTCTAGGAAGAGAGCTGAAAGCTGAGACAGGAACAGCCTACTATGTATGCATGGTGCCCTCCCACTCAGCCCAGGACGGTGGTTTCAGCACTGACTCAGGAACAGCAGGTCAGCAGGCTTTGGGGCCAGTTTCTGCTGAGTACCCAGCTCCAGCCTGTTGTCTTCTCAGTGCAGGCCTTGGGAGGTGGAGATTGGACCAGCTGCTGCCTCTCTGCCAGGCTCCCCTCCCAGGGGGCAACTGCCTCAGTCCTCCCTCCAGAACTTGACCCCACCCCTGGCAGGGCAGCCCTGCAGCACACAGCCCCTGGTGGCCATAGCAAGAGGACCTCAGGCCAGAGGCTTCCCTGGGGAGATGAGGTCACCCAAAAGGAGGCAGATCTCACGAGGAAGAAAATTTCCACTCTGAACTTTTGAATTATTTATTCATGGTCAGTACAAAGTTCAGCTTTGGTGACAGAAAGAAGCAGGGCAGCACTGCTAGATAGGCCAGGAGCAGGTGCTGGGCCGGGTTAGAGAGACCTGGGTTCGAGTCCTCTTCACCTCTCCTTGCTGATGTCCTCCATCCATTGCTATGGCCCACCTTGCCTCTGGGGGAGGCTGATACGGGAAAAGCTCCAGTGTGGCTGTCTGGAAAAGGCCGGTAAAGCAAGGCTGTGGCAGGTAGAACTCTGTTTTTGGCACTTTCTCTCCTTCAGCACAATGTCTGCTGGTTTTCCCAGAACAAGGAGGCTCCTGGGGTCTTCTAGGACAGCTGGCTGATGCTACAGGATGACTGAATTGCTGCAGGCTCACTCTGAGGGCATTCCATGTACACAGTGCATCCACTCTTCTCACCCACCCTGATGCGGGGGAAGCTGGAAACAAGGGCATGGTTGATACCTGGCTTTCTGCCCACCAGCTGGGCACCTCCACTAACTACCAAGTGTCTCCAGTGTTGCCTCTCAAGGGACATTATGCAGGTTGGCTTTGTTTAAAAACTAGTCAGAAAGGATTAAACAATGTCCATCTATTTATATGTATTTCCCTAAACAAGCAAACAAAAATTTCCACGGCTGCTTAGAACTATGGTCCTCTTGGGGCCTCACTGTCCATGGATGGTCTCGGCAGCCCCAGAATGGCCCGTGGTGACCTCTCTCTCTCGAGGAAATGGCCTCGCCGGAGGGCTCCTCAGAAAGGGCAGAGTTGCCTTTTCTGGGAAGTAAGGCCGACTGTGAACAACACATTTTACTACCTGCCTGAACATTCCATTCCATTGTGCTTCTAGGAGACATAAATAACTTCCACCTGGGCACTGAGGGGGCTGGCGGGAAATGAGTCAGGGTACAAAGCCAACTGCTGCTTTGTCTTTGAAACAGTTTTGCCATGGGTTCTTGTGGAGGTGGGGTGGGGGGAGGGTTGGGCTCAGTCAGGGAGGAGGTGGTCGGTGCAAGCAGGGCCTCAAGTGAGGAAGCTATGCAGGACAGGCTGCCACCTCTGTCCTGCAAGGCTAGCTTGCTGCGACACTCATCTCAGCAGTTGACAAGTTGGAGGGGCCCTTACAGAGTTGCTTGCACTCCTTGTGCTCCTATAGACCAGCTGAGAGAAGCAAAAGGCCCCCTTCCAGTCTGGGTCCTGCGCCAGTCCCATGGAGGACACTCACACTGCCTGAAGCCTGGCCGTGGCTCCCCCAGAGTCCTCTTGGTTCCCCAGAAAGATAACATTTTCCATTCCAGGAGACACAGTAGGTCCTCTGGCCCTCCCCAGACCCTGACCAGTCATCCAGGTGAGGGCACAGAAGCTGGAATTTGAAGGTGACATGCAGTGTCACAGACAGAACTGGTGTGGAAAGGCCTGTCTGGCTACACTTGCTCACCCTAGGCATCTACTGAGAGGCACGTGCTCATCCACCCAGAGTCCAGCGAATACAATTCCCCCAGCTTCACTGGAGAAGACCAGCCACAGAACACAGCTGCAAGGAAATGCTCCCTTCCTCCAGCTCCTTCCCTGAGTCACAATGACCCTAGGAACTCAAAGACTTGAAAGACACCATCCAATTCAGCTGACACTACCCAGAAGGAGGTGGTGCCTGGCCTCACATCTGAATTACAGACAGACAGAAGCTCAGTGAGCAGGGGGCACAGACCCAGAGTTAACCAGTGAGCTCTGGGGGCCAGGGTGAGAGGGCCCCTGTGTGCTCAGATCTGCTTCTCTGTAGGGCCCTCTGCACATCAAACCCTTTTGACCGCCTTGTCTGCTTGTCCCCACATTGCGAGTGTGTGGGCAGGCCCGATCCTTGGGCCTTTCATATGGGTCTGGGAGGCAGAAATTTCTCTCCTCAGCTGCTCACCCTCCAGAAAGCCCCTGGTCTCCAGGCCAAAGATCAGCCAGCAGCCATTCTTCGAAGTCTGTGTGGAGTCTCTGCATTTTGTCACTTGCTCACAGGCAGTTGTCAAAAGGGACCTGCAGGATCCTGCTGGGCACCTACATCACACAGACTGGATTGTGAAGCCCGGAAGGCTAGAGGATGGGAGTGACCAGGCATGAGAGGTGGTCCTGGGGTCACCACAGTCCTTTGGTCATTCAGTGGGAGTCACTTCTTGATTCCAGAAGGAAAGATCTACCCCACATGGTGCCTCCAGTTCCCACCAGTCCTGGTCCTGGTCCTGTAGTGGATGGGATGGTGTTCTTTCTTGTTAGTGGAAGAAGAGTGATGTCTCTGCTGACTTCAGGCCCACCATGGGCATGTGTGTTCCAACACTTTGCTCTCCCTCTTGTTTCTGGTGCTTAGAGCCCAGGCTTCTGTTTGGTGTCTAATTGGTTGTATGAATCAACTCCAGGGCCCCAAGCTGGGGACCTAAACAGTGGAAATTGCTGTCTCAAAGTTCTGGAGGCTAGAGGTCCAAGATCAAGATGTCTCAGGCCTGGCTTCTTAACCCTCTCCCTGGCTTGCAGATGGCACCGTCTCCCTGGGTCCTCATCTGGTTGTTCCTCTGTGTGTGTCTGTGTCCTGATCTCTTCTTATGAGAACACAATCAGATTAGATCAGGGCCTTACCCTAGTGACCTTATTTTACCTTAATGACCTCTGTAAAGACCCTATCAATTCTGTAGTGCTGGGAATCAGAACTTCAGCACTTTGGGGGAATTTCAGGCTATAGCCCTTATCTTCACTCTCAGGCACAGCTGTGGAGAGCCTTGGGGGTGACATGGTGACTGCATGTTTACCTCATGCAGGTCAGAAAAAAACAGAGGCCACAGAGCACTCTCGACTCCACCCTATACAGTAAGGTCATCAGCTTGGTCCCTCTGCTTCTAAAAAGGGACAGACACACACATGGCTTCTGCGCTTTCCACAGCTTCTTGTTTGGGGTTCCGCGGATTCATTTTTCCTCCATTCTCAGAATGAAGAGCGAAGGAGTTGCTTTCCTTCTTGGAAATGGGTTCTTTCCACCCAGATGATGCATGTCACTCCCTGTCCACTACCAGTGGTACAGGCTAGATCCCACGAGTTTGAAGGGTGCAGGGGGAAGGAGGAAGGAACCCTGAAGTTGCATAGTAAGATGGTTTAAAGTTACTCAGTAAGAAGAAGAGGGAAATGCCACGAACAGAATTACAATGAGTGTTTCCTGAGCACGTTTGCTATGTCCTTCTGACAATCCCATCTCACACCAAATCATGAAGAGCTGCATCGCACCACAGACAACGCCCCTGCCAATCCTGCTCTCTTGGCTGCTGGACAATGACACCTCAAAGGCATCACAAGATGAAGTATGTACTACAGGTGGGGCTTGCTGAGAATCCCAGTGGCGCTGAGGGAGAGCAAAGAGGAAGCAACCCAGCTTCCCCTGGATGGAGTGTAAATGTGGACCAGTCACCCTCTGTGTGGCTTTCTGGGGCTCCCATTGGGTTTGCTTACCTGTACCCCTTCCCTGCTCCCTGGGAACTTAAGGAGCCAGAAAAAGTGATAAAATGGAGGAGAGAGTCTCAGTCACACTAGAAACTGTTTACTTTCTTTTTTAAAAAAAGTCTGGCTAATAACAAGTAAGAACCAAGTTTCTTCTTGTGAGTGTATGTGGGTGGAGGGTGGTTATTTTTAAACCAATGACTAACCATCTTCATTGTCAGTGTTTTATTTAAAAATTGTTAATCTAAAGCGTTTTAAACACTGAAGGAGGCAGAGCCCTTGGCCTAACCCTGAAGGTGACATTTCTGGCCACCAGAGGGCTGAGGCATCAACTGCTGGATCTGAAGGGCAACATGAAGTAGCCCCAGAGCCATCTCTCTTGCACTCTGGTCATGCAGCCCATGGTACCTGCTGAGATGTCTCCTTCCCCCAAAAGAGGAGGCGAGAAAAAAATCAACAACCAGAACTAAAAAGGCCCACTGCACACTCTCCTGATAAACTTCACTCACTCACCATCTCTCTTCTGCCTTCGTCCTTCTCCTGCAACTTCAGATGTGCAGACACCTGTGGCGGAAGAGGATGACAGTGTGAATGGTGTTGGCAGGGGGAGCCTTATGAGGCCCAGGGCCCCAGCAGCATTCTGAGCCACCTAATGGTGACAGAACACCCCAGAAGGTCTCAGGTTCCCATGTCCCTTGGCCTAAAAAAGGTATCAGAGCAGTACTGGTCTCCTATACTTCCAGTCATCTCAGGGGAATTCTTTGCTATGTCCATGAAAGGAGTCAGACATGGACAATACACAGACAAGCACACCCCAGGCACTGGGACCTTGAAGACTTACCCATGGTATCTATTTAGGAATTGCACAAACCACTTGTCAAACCTTTGATAGCTTACAATTATCACAGTGAGAATATTTACACTGTAAGAACTGGCAAATGCTACACGTCTGGCTGCCATTTCTTACTGTTCTGTTCTGTTTGCTGGGATCCTGTTACTGGCAGCACTGGGCTCCTGACCCTGCTTGGGAAAACCCTGAGAAGGAATCACTAAGCCCAAGATCAATCTTGGCTCTGCTCTACCACTGTCTGTGTTCCTGGGAACAATAGGAGACTCAATTTCCTCACTGGCCTGATGGTGAGGTTAAAGCCATAAAGCCCATCCTCCTCCTTAACTAGTGAAGTCAATTAAGGGGTCAAATGAGAGACTGAGAGTCAGGGGGGAGAAGTGAAGAGGCCGCAGGCATGGGACAAGGCCAGGTCTATGTCATTTCTGTAGGGCCAGGTGCCCACTGTGTGATGCCATGCATCACTTTTCAGGCTGCCTGGTGGTTATAAAGATCAGAAAGCAGCACACAAAAAATGCACAACAATGTCTGATCACCCATCAGCATGTGATAAACACCTGGTGTCCAGTACCATTCCTGCATGAGAAACAGGACCTTGTATTGTAAAAGGTACAACAGCCCCAAAGGTATCAAGAAATTCTCCAGGTGAGAGTCTGACTGAATGTATTTCTAAAAATAGATGAATTTCACAGCAAGATCTGGGGAGACGTGGGAGTCACCAACCTGTCTGCAAAAGCAGCAATCGAGCTGGAAAATCAGAGCAATGGTTCTCAAGCAAGCAACAACCTGGTCCGCCCAAGCACTCACTAAGAACTAAGTTCGGGTTACCCAATGCACAGGTGCACAAGGGACGTGTAAAAATGGCTTTTACAAAGTACATGGAACAGCAAGCTTTGAGATAAAGAAAAACTTCCCAATGCGCTCCTTATCCTGGTCTATTTGCAAACTCTTCCAAGTGCTCTGTGCCCACCAGAGGCCAAATAAGTAAGCAGGGTTCCCAGTGCACACTGTCTGGGGAGGCTGTCTGGGTGGAGAGGTGTCTATTTACCTACAGAACACCCAGTACCAGGGAAGAAGAAAGAGAACAATCCAACCAAGGCCCTTTCTTTCTGTTCCCCACAAAGCAGGTCAGGGAGCAGATCACATATCTGAAATCTTAACCCACTTCTCTTTACTAAGAATCTCTTGGACTTGCATGAAACATTGTGTGGCTGCCACTCTCTCATACTCAGGGAGGAAGCTTTGCCCAGTTCAAGTCAGGAACATGAAGCAAGACCTTTCCAGATGGCGACACCAATTCAAACACCCTACCCACTGACCAAAGTGCAGAGTGGACCAGACTGAGAATGTCTCCTACCTAGCCAGAGCAATGGCTAGGGACTCTCTGTGGTGACAAGGAGAAAGCAGAAACAACAAACAGTGCCATGCACAAAGTGAGCCATGATAAGTGAACAGAGCTGAAGTCTGATTTTCCAATCCCCTTTCACTGGGAGGCATTCTGGTGGTGCCCACCATGAGACAGTCATCGTGAGGTGGGCCTAGTTAAAGATGGAAGCCCAGAGTGCCAGCACTTGGGGAGGTCATGGTCTGTTCAGAAAGTGTGACCAGACTGCTCTGGAAATCCATTGCAGAGGTGCCACCTGGACACTACTGTGGCTCCAAGAGGCAAGGCATTTTTTTAACAACCCCTGGATTTCTCCATGGGAAGACACACTGGGATGTAAAGAACAGTGACAGAGTGACAACACAACCAGCACCGAGGAACCAGAGGTCCACAGGTTCCACCCTGACCTTCCTGTCTGCACTGCCCCAATTCACCATTCTAGCCAGCCCTGCACAGTCTCACAGATGAGGGAACTGAAGCTGTGGAGCTGAGGCAACTGAAAGGGAGGAAGTCAAGATCGGCAGTGAACCTTGGAGACCTTTCTAGAGTCAGAAAGTTCTGCCTCCAAGTCGCCACGTGGTTGTCAGCAGCTGGCTGACCCTGGTTCATGGCTTCATCCTTGGAGGGTCCACTTCACACCTGCTTTCCTGAGATTACACAACTGGTGATTGTGTAGAGATGCATGTGTGCAGAGCCTGGACTCAACAGGTGCTCAGCATTTGCTGACTCTTCCCTCACCTGACAGGCAGGTGAGTTGGATGAGACTGTTGGGCTCTAACCAGAGTAACTCAAGGATGGCCAATGGAAGGGGAAGTCCTTCAACCCATGAGGAGTAGGACTGTGGTTACCATGCAAGTGGTCAGCCCTGCCAGTGATCAGTAATCTCAGAAACTTGACCATGGCTTTGCCAAATATGGTCCTTTAAAACTCATGGTCTTGGGGTTCAGTTTCCATGCAGCTGTCAAAACAGCGAGGCTGGGGCTGCACTCTGCTGTGTGTGGGCCTGGAAGAGCATCCAGCCCGTGTGCAGCGATGCCAGTGCGCTGTAGAGGATTGTGGCCATGGGTGCCGGGTGCAGCCGGGGGTGCAGCTCACCATCATAGCCTCCTGCACAGTGAGGTGCGGCAGCAACATGTCATCCTGCATGATGTAACAGGACACCTTCCGGAAGCAACGCAGGTCCCGGGGCAGGCCGTTGATGAGGACTGCTCCTTTCATGCCCGTCTCCCTGCAAAACCAAGGAAAGAGAAAGCCATCAGCCTACCCTGTCTTCAGGGCTTAGAGAGGGCAAACCAGTGAGTCCTCCCTCCCAGCCTCTTCCCAGCAGAACCATTCACTGCAGAGGGACAGAGGGATGGGAGACCCAGAACACACACTATAATCTGCAGGAAGAAAGTGCCCAGCAGGGGAGAGGAAGCCACACAAAGGACCAGTCTGGGATGGCATGTTTATACTAAGTGGCAATGGCTGCTTTTCCTTTGTTGGCGCCACAAAGACACATGGGGTGCTCCTAAATGCATCCATGAGGTAGAGATGTGAACCCGTGTCTTTGCAGTCTTTGGAAACATGCTGTGTACAGCTCACTACCTAGAGAAGCCTGCAATGAGACCTGTGAAGGATTCCAGGCAAGGCCTTGGGCTCAGGTGGCTCAGAGACAGGGCCCGGGCCCTGGCCCTGGCCCCTGCTCAGTCAAGTAGATATTCCTTATGCAAGGGGAGAATTTTCTCCAACCACAGGTGAGCAGGCCAGGAGCCTCCCATGGGCTAATGGGGAAGTAGGGGCACGGCCACCTCATGCTAAAGCCTCTGGCCTCTGGTCTGCTGCCTTTCAGGGGTTCCTGCTCACTGGAAGACTGGCTGCAGAGCTGCTCAGCCCTCAACTCCTTCCCTGGACCTGTCTATACAGCTCTGCTTCCTTGATGTCATGGCAAACAGGAGCCCAGGACAGTGTGTGGGGACTGACTGCTTTCCAGCCCTCCTCAGCCCACTGCTGTGCCTTGTGGTGAGTCCTGTTTCTCTCCAGACGAGGGGCATGTCACTTGGCTTCCCCCTGGATACCTAGGCCTGGTGGGGCTGCCTCTGGCTCTAGGATGCCCAAACACCCTTCAGGCCTCCAGGAGCTGTGGTGTGTCAGGTGGTGAAAAGCAGCCGACTCTGCAGAAAACACTCCACTTTCCTATGTCCTCCCCATGGGGGTTGAGAATTTGGTTCTAACTTTGAGATATGATTATACCAGGCAGGAATTTGTCATAAGTAAGAACTTTCAAAGCTCTAATTTCTAGTATTAAGGAGTAAATCAGAAACTCTAAGGAAGGGGTGATTGGTGGGTTTTTTCAGTAAATGAAATTATTATTATTTCACAGGGGAGATGTCCCAAGTACATCCTAAAACCAAGGAGAGAACCGAACTCTTAACTATATATACTGTGCCTTTTCCTCTACTTTCCACACATACTTATAAGAAAGTTCAATTTACAGGTTAAGCAGGGTAAGTCATTAACAACAATGTCTAAAAATAAAACAGAACAATTGTAATAATTTACTACAATAAAATCACCAATGTTGCCACTCTTGCACTTTGGGGTCATTACTAAATAAAATAAGGGTCACCTGAATGCTGCACTGTCATACTGCTCTAGCCAATCTGAAAACCCAGATAGCTAGGGAATGACTAATGGGCAGGTAAGGTATACAGCACGGATACCCTGGGCCATGGCTGATTCTTGTCCTGGGTGGGCCAAAGTGGAATGGCACTAAATTTCATCACCCTTCCCAGAAAGATAAGCAGTTAAAAAATTATGAATTTTTTTATTTCTGGAATTTCCACAGTTGGCCCATGGTTAGCTATGGGTATCAAACTATAGAAAGCAAAACCGTGGATAAATGGGGTATTCTTACTATTTAGTATTTGCTAAAGGTATCTAAAGGAACCTATGAGAACTCAAAACAACCAGATTTTAGCAAGCAGTTTTCAACACTTCAGTCATTCATGAATCAATGACCTCGGGGACAGAGATCTCTAAAGTGGTAAACAGCTTACAGAACCTCAGGCAGTTCTCTTGTGCTCTTCTGAAACACCTTATCTTGCTTTCTGTCACACTTCCTAACTGCTCTCTGTCTTCCCTCCTTGTCCTTCCTATGTCTTCCTGTTCCTCAGGGCTGAGCTCATTTAGGATGCTGCCTTGTCCACCTGCCCAGGGGCCTCTGCTCCAGTCACATGTGGCCATATCAGCAGGGGCAACCTTTCAGAGCTGGCCGCGTTTTTGCATGGATTCCAGAGCTCTGGATGTTTCCCGAAAGCCCATGCGAACAGAGCCTGAGCAGCTGCTGCCGTGAGAAGTTTGTGCCCTGCTAGGGCCTTCTCACCTGTATCCAGCCAGAATGTTCATGAGCGTGGACTTCCCAGCTCCGGAGGGACCCATGATGGCCACCAGCTCACCACTGTTGAATTTCCCAGAGATTCCTTTCAGGAGGGTCTTGTACCCTGCAAAAAAGCAGATCACATCCATTTCTAATGGCCACGGGACTCATCTTGTGTGACCCCAATGCAGTGTGTGCAAACACACCAGCAGACTGGATGGCAGAGCTGGGACAAAGACAGCATTTCTTGTGTTGCAGTAGAAAATGTGTGCTCGTCTAGAAAACAGATCTTGTGTCTCTTTTATGCCCCAGCCTGTTTCCTCAATTGCACGTTATGAAAATGATAATAATTACAGCACGTGCATACTGCTTCAGAGCTTGCAAAGCACTTTCACATACAGGATTTCGTCCACGAGGCTCCGCCATCCCCATTTTAGGATGGAGGAAGCCCCAGCCATGGTGTAGGCAGAGCCTAACTCAGCACAGCACCAGGCCCATGGTTGTACTCAAGAGCCTGCATTAATTACATGATTCTCTTAGCATTTCATTTACAAATTATTGACTTATACTTTATATATTTACATAAATATAAATTATATATAATTTATTTATGCCTAATTGCTTTCTAATTAATTGATACATTAAGAATTGCTTAATAATTAAAAGAGTTTATCGTCATGTAATCGCATCAAATAGCTTTGGAATTTCTGCCAAGTCTCTCATCTAAGAGCTTCATAAAAGGAAAAGACTATATACCCCAAGCAAGCCACACTAACATGTTCAAGTAGAGGTTTAAGTGTGCTATAACTGACAAACAGAAACAACTGGATTCATGGATGGGTCCCAACTCAGAAATGTTGCCCGGTGTGGCACATACCACACCCCCGTGTGACCACAAGTCCTTATGATTTTAGCCCCTGCACATACTGTTTAAGGGAGCTCAGGAGACAGGGACATGAGGGGATGCAGAGAACTTGCCCAGTCCCTTATTCCGGACTCCCTCCCCAGGCTCTGCTGGACATCCAAGCCTGCATATTTTCAAGAGCTCAGGCCCAGGGGAGCTTTCTCCCTGCTGTCTTCCTGTCTTTGACAGATGGGACACCTGAACATTCCAACCTGTCACCAGGTGCCACCTTAATTTGGACGGGGAGTCCCTGAGGCCTTGTTTAAGTGAGGCAAAGAGAAGAGGAAGCAAAAGCCAGGAAGCTTGTGGCCTGGTGACTCTGACTCATTAAAGAGCAGAGTGTGGCTGTTGCCCCAGGAGGGCTAAGTGTCATCCCAGGGGCCCAGGAACAAAGAGAGGGGTGCAGAAGGGCAGCTCAGATCTGCATAGGAGTCCAGATCCCACTGTGACAGCAGATTAGCAAGCATGAGGCATGGAAAACCTGAAGGAGAGGAGTAGGGGGCAGGAAAGGGAGCCCCAAGAGTCAGCTTCATGCTGGGCTGCTCTTGTCCTCAGTGGACTGGCATAAGGAAGAGCTGGGGATGGCAGAGACCCTTTCTTGTGCAAGGAAGCTTCCAGCCCAGCAGCCTCATTAGACAGAGCTCTGTGCCTTGGGGCCAGACTCTTGGGAAAGTGGTCCCCAGGGACTCTGCATGACATCACCCAGGGAGCACTAAATACCAGGTGCCCGCTCATTACTGCACCGTGCCTACCCAGGCTGCAGTCAGGGTTACTTCTGAGCAAACCTTTCTTTAGGCTGTTTCCTCTTAAAGTTTAGAGCTGATGCCCAACTGAGACTTCATGAGCCAGAGGAGACAGACAGGTGACTGCAGTGACCACTAGCAAAATGGAGCCCAAGCGTGGTCTGTACTAGGTCATGATGCCCTAACGGCAGCCTTGCCTCAGGGTCCTGAGGAGGCTATTCCCACAGTCGCCAGCAGGGCCCATCTGTCAGCTCTGTTCTGACAGTGTCCACAGCCAAACTTTGACCCATGCTGGGAGCCAGATGACCACACTAGCTGGAGGATGCTCCACGGGTTGTGATGCCATGGACAGAGCCTGGGAATCGGGTAGGTGGGGAGACTTGGGAGTATCAGCCCTTTCATGGGGGAGGCAGACAGGAGACTTAGACCATCTAATGGCAATCACGAGGCCAGCCTCCAGGCAAACTGAGGTCCAGAACATTCTGCTGGCAACAATCGTCTCTGGGAGGGATGCTGTTCCCTTGGGTGGGGAAGCACTAGTTGGGTAGAGGTCTTGCAGAGCAGACTTTAGACACTGCTCAGACTTCACTGCTCCAAATATTAGAAACCTGCTGTTCTTCAAACAAATAAACAAACGAAAACAAGGCAGACACACTTTGGAATTGATGAGCCTGGTCAGTGGTCCTGGAGACCCAAGCTGAGTGTACACCGGTCTGTCCAGCCCAGGAGAGCCAGGACTGCCTCCAGGAGCACTGTGCACTCAGTGAGGCCCAGGACTCCCAGCAAGAGGCTTTCTGCTGCCACAAGCCCTGTGAGCAGCCCCATACACCTCCAGCCAGATTCTGGAGGCATCCTTCTTGCGGTCCCCATATCCAATTCCCTCACAGAAACACAAAATGAAGACAGGTCATCTTGTCCCTTATTTGAGCTCTGCACAACCCACTGCTGGGCATAATGGACCTGCCTCCACCTCCCTGCCACAAGCTCCCTTGTTCCCAAGGAGCTCACCTGTGCTGCTTTTCTGGCTGGGACCTGAGTGCCCAGGACGGCAAACACAAAGATCCACCATAGGACAGTGGATCCTGTGGTCATCAGACCAAATGGGTGCAGTCTTTAAAACAGCCAGACCAGAACCCAGACAGAACGCAAAACCTAGAACCCAAGTTAGAACCTGGACAGATCCAAGTCCATAACTCAGAACCCAGAACCCATACACAGTCCAGACCAGAACCATAGATCAGAAAACAGAACCCAGACCAGTAGCAAGAGAGAGCTCAGGTGAAAACCCATCAGCAGAGTCCCCAGGGGAGGGGGATGGGGCATGGCTGGGAGAAGGGGCATTGCTTTCCACCTGTCTTTAATTGTTTCCCTTCCCCCTTCCCTGAATTAACCCCGACGTGTTTATCTGCTGCTGTACTATATGTGAGCACTTCCTGCTAAGAAGAAACCAGGTAGCTTAACACTCTTTTAAGACTTAAACCCATCATCAATTAGCAAGAGCAAAACCAGCCATAAGTTCAGTTGGCTCTCTGAGAAATGAAGATAGGGGAGGGGAGAAGAATTGGGAACCAGAGGAGAGAGAGGAGGCTACACAGGTTATGCCTCTCCTGGGGTCCCGAAATCAGCTGTGGGCTTAGGGTGGCCCTGGAGTCCCAGACCTTGGGGATAAGAGAAAAGTGAACGCCTGTGGCTCGGGGGCCACATCTGTCCCTCACACGGTTTGCTCCCTCTGGCCCTGCATCCTTGGGAGGAACAGGAGCTGAATGTGCCAGTCCTTCACAGCTACTCAGTGAAAACAGCATGGAGAGTTTTAGTCCAGAGCTCCTCCAAATCTCCAAGCCTCATCAGATTCCACTCTGCCATTTGGGCGAGGGGCTGGTGAGGGGTGTGGGCCCAGGGAGGCTGGGGAGAGAGAGCTGGGAGACCCACGAAGCATGGCAATTGCTACCTACCACGGCAGGCAGAAATCCTGAGAGCTACAGGGCCAAAGATGGAGCTGGGCTTGCCCTGATATTTTCAGCATTCCCAGGACATTTTCTCCTGATGCCCCCTGGGGACACAGGGAGGGCCCTGAAAGTCTCCCCAGTACACCCCAGACACCCACACCCTTCCTGGGTCCCCCCACTCCTCTCTCTCCTCCTTCTCATGGCCCTTGCTCCTTCCCTTCCTCTTTTTCTCCCCTCCTGTTTCCCGCTTCACTCCATCAACTCTTTCTCTCTCCCTCCCTCTCCTCTTTCCCCTTTTATCTTTTTTTCTCCCTGTGTCCCTCTCCTTCTCTCTTCCTTTTCATCCTCTCTCTCCATCTCTCTCTTCCCCTCTCTTCTCTTCAGCTCTCTCTCTAGCTCTTCCTCTTTGAGATGCCAGAACCTCCCCTTTCCATCTTTGAACAATCTACTCTGGCTCAGTGTAGACATCCAATACACAAAGCCAGGTGGGTGGGTGTCTAACAGCTGCCTAATAACAGCACCAAGTGAAGGCTAGAGGGAGGGTTCTTTAGTCTTGCCTTTAGTCATCCCCATCCCTGGGCTGCAATGACCTTGAGGAAGAAGAGACAGTGTTGAAGCAAGACCGCTTCTCCTAAACGTGGCCAAGCCACCACTTGGTGCCCAGCCTGAGGCCAGGCACCTGTCACACACACTGGAGTTTGCTTCTCAGCTCTGTGAGGACATGATCAGGACCAGCTTCTCCATTACCAGGCCCTGTGTGCCTGGAACCCAGCCTGGCACCCATGTTACTAAGTAAGTGTTCACAGAGCTAATGAGCAGAAGGTGGGCTCTCTATACAACCGAACCCAGAATGACAGCCACCAACTTGGGCATTGCCTCTTATTTCTTCTAGTAGGACAGACCCTTCCCTTTGGGGTACAAGCCAGCATGTGCTAGAAGGGCCTAGGAGCCTCTGTAGGTCCAGCTGCCTGCACTGTCCCTGAGGTCAAACCACACAGGACCACACTGTGATTTTGGAGGGGCTTCTAATGTCTATTTGTTTTGTATTGTGAGTCCAAACAATGGCACAAAAATCACTAGTCAGCCTTTAGGTTACTGCAATCGATATACCTATTATTTTTATTTCAGATTGATTACTTTCGATTCACATTTTACTGACACATGCAGAAAAGTGCAGAGATCATAAATGTATAGCTTGACACACTGTCCCAGAATGAACACGCCTCGGTCTCCAGCCCAGGTCAGCAGGCAGAAGATGACGGGCTCCAGAAGCCCTCACGGGCCTTCCATCACTGCAGTGGAAGCTGCTCTGGCATCTTGAGTAGATCCTAGGGCTTTTGGTTTTACACAGAGGAGTGCATTTTTTCCTAAACAATTTTTTTAAAAAGATAATTTCCTCCCCCGGAAATCAAGACAGCATCCCTTTGCTCATGGAAAAATCTCAAAGCATGCTTTTTCTTTTAAGACGGGAAGTTGTTACCTAGTAATTCTATGAAGCCCCTGCTTGCTGCTGTGTGACCTCTGCCAGGCT